CCTATCCCCTGTGTGCCTTGATGAGAAGAATCGACGTCTAAAATTTCAAATTATTTGGATTTATAGAAAAAATTAAAATTAAAACATGAAATGAGGTCGTGACCGTCAGATCAGCCCAGATTCAATCTGGGACGTTGGGTTCATATGTTCATATGAGCTAGTGGGCTAATCTCAGCATTTTCCATATATATATATGGGAAACACTCGTGTAGAGCTCCTAGGTGCGCCAACGGCGGTGGTGGTTTGTTGGGGAAAATTGGACGGTCGATATCGATTTCACGGTGTTTTCAATTAGAAAACGTATTTAATAGATACACTAAAAAATCTATTTCTCTAGTGGGAGTATGGGATGCTCTTTTCCACTTGTGAATTTCAACAAAGTTGCAACTCTAACGATACAATAAAAAATCCAGTTCTCTGATGAGAGGATGGGATACTCTTTCCCACTTGTGAATTTGAACAAAATTGCAACTCTATAAATACAATAAAAAATCCAGTTCTGTTAATGTGGAATATCAAGCTGTGTTTGTCAAACTGTATTTTTTCCTGCAAAAATATCCCTCCTCTGTGTATGTTGCGTTCTTCAAACTGTAGCAAGAGATACAATCATAAACAATAGCAAAAGTTTGGAAGCAAATGTAACAAGGAATGGAGAGAGAGACCTAACAAAGAGAGATGTACCTGTAAATGGTGAAGGCGGTGGTGTTGATGTGGCTCAGATGGTGGCCTTGCTCAAGTAGAGTTGGGGCAGAGAGATGGAGAGGCAGAGTGAGGGAAAGAGCGAAAGTGGTTTTCCTTGGTTTACTGAGGTGGGTGAGGGAGAGAGGACTTGATGGGGGGAGAGAAAATGAGAGTGGATGGGCAATGGCCTTGCTCGAGGGAGAGTGAGCACGAGGGTTTTTCCCTAGTTCAGATATGAGAGAGAGATAGAGAGGAGGTCAATGGTGCGAGAGAGGAACAAGGAGAGGACCCGATGTAGAGAGATAGGACCCCAATGTAGAGAGAGATGGCATGCGTTGTTAGGCAGCACCAGGTGTCAGTCATTAAATGCGTTTTTTATTTGAAAACGGGGAGCTCTGTGAAATTGATATGGACCGTCCAATTTCTCCAACTCCCAACAAACCACCACTGCCATTGG